GCACATCCTAATTTTTCTTTTAGGTTTTGGCATTTTATTTCACAAAATAATTAAAAAGAATTGCACTGAATTAGAACATGTTTCTCATTAATTTTGTGTAACACAACATATGATTATTTTTGCAAATTGCAATAAAACATATGGTTATTTCTGTGATTTATGAAATTCTAAAAGATATAAATATAAGTCTTGTTGTTTGAAGGGTAATGTATTTTAAAAAAATATTTTTTTATAAAATAAAGTTTAATTAAAAAAAATGTCACAAGAACAAACATCATCATCTAAAACTAAAAAATGAAACTTTATTACAGCACAAGAAAAAAGAGAGATTTGCTTATTAAAAAAAAAAATAAGCCTGAACCAAAGAATGTTGAATTAGCAGCAAGATATGGTATTAGTCAAGGTCAAGTAAGTGACATATTAAAAGATCTTGAAAGATGGCTTAATACCGATCCAAATTCCTATCAAGCAAAATTAAAAAGAACACATACTTTAGCTTTTGGGCCAAGTTTTCTAATCCACAGAGTGGAGGGACCTATGTGACAGATATTATAGTACCTGTAATTCAAGCTGTATTAAAAACTTCCAGTCGGGAAATCTGCATTCATTAGCACATGAGTATTTTTTATCATTAAGAATTGTTCTTATTGTTATATTAATATGATTTATATAGGGCGGAATGCCAAAGTGTTGCTAGCAAAGACCAAAGAGGGAAGAGTGGGAAATGCCAAGATATTATGTTCATGGCAAAGCATGATAGGAGAATCTATGAATTAATTTTTGCAGAATATTCTTGTCTTGTCTGTGATAAATGAAAAGAAGAAGATGAAGTGAAGTTGTGGAGAGAAATTAATGACGGCTTGTATTGGGCACATAGGGGGTGTAAGATGGATGATGATGAGTTTGGTGTAATTGGCATTCAGGTTGGTGGACAAAAACTTCATTTATATGTTCTCATTAGGGATGATGATGAAATAAATCGCCTTTTTCTATTAAGATCAGTAGATATTCCAACACAATATTTGGATGGCGATTGTGTGTTTAGATTTGTAGAAACTTTATTATTTTTACAGGTAGAGATTTGCTCAAGTCTATAATATGCTTAATTAGTTTAATACCAATTTTTTTTTATTATATGGGCATACTGCAACAAAACCATACAAAGTGAGCATTGGTATTACCAAAAAATTTAGGGATCAATTGTGTTTGTTTAACATCACAATTGTTTGTCTCTAGATAAAAATAGTCAATATAAAACTCATCTACATCAGATCTACTATGGAACCCAAGAATTAGAAGTATTTTAAAAAGGAACAAGGTGAAAAAATTGCTCCTTACATTTTCAAAATAAATGATACTCAGACACTGGAAGCTTATCTAAGAAAAGAAAAGATTACTTATGAAATTTACCAAGAAGAAAGAAAAATAATAAATGTTAGAAAAAGAATGCAGAATGAAGATGTGCTATTATTCAACAAAAAAAAGGAAAACAATAGGAACAAATTTATCTATTTTATCTTTTCCTTTCTTGCTTCATAGATAATTTGGTTTTTCAAATGTCTCCAATATTTTTTAGGAGGCTTCTTATCAGTTTCTGCAAAATAAAACATTGCTCTTTTGCATGATAAGAAATGAGTGTAAATATCATGAGCTTCATATTTTGTTGTCAAATTACCCTTATCAAGAATTTGTTCAATAATTTTATGCAATTTTTTGATAACTTCACATGATTCTGAACACCACAAGCTGGATTCACAATTATACTTTTCATATACCAGTTCATCAAAAAGAATCTTCCTTTCAAAATCAAATCCATCTTGTCTAATTGCTAAATGTCTCTGATCAATATCAGGAGTCCAGAATTTTAATATCCCATCTTCCTTCTGAAAGTATGGTAACACTCTATAAAAATTGTCATATACATCCAGAAAATATAAAAAAATTTTACACGTGTCAATTGTAAGTTTAATAATAAAAAAGTGTAAAACTTACATCAGCACTGTAAGATTTACACAATATTACATCAGCATCATAAGATTTATGCAAGTTTACGCTAAATTAATTTCCTGATGTACTACATTACTTAACCTAAAAATTTTGTAAATAATGCTCAAAATCATATACAGAAAACTATAATATCATCAGGATCTTTAAGGGTAGGGGGAATCACGTGGTATATTTAATAGTAAACAATGGCTCAAAAAAAATAATGTCAATCATCATAAATAACAATAATAACGTAATTCAATATTAATATTATAATAATAAAGGCTCCTAATACTATTTTTATTATTATTAAATAAAGGCACCAGACTTTAATTCCCCATTCTTTTGAGTATATATCCAAATTTCCACAATGCTTGCAAGTGGATGTTAGTATTAATTTCAATTAATTTTCTATGGACATAATAAATATTGTTAAACATAAAATTATTGATTCATTAACAGCATTTCCAATTTTCCAGATTATTTGTTGATATATTCTAACTAATTCACAATGTGTATTTCTAGCTTCTTTTTTAATTTTTTTACATTCTGATTTGCTTGATAATTCAAGTTTGATATCAAAAGAGCTTGAGAACTTTTAAATGATAAGAGGTAATCCATTAGGGAGTGTAGATACCACTTTCTCTACTATTCTATGAAAAATAATGCTGAAATTACATATTATCAACAGTAAGAAAATAAAATAATATTTATTCTTTTATTATTATAAATATTTGTGTTTGAAAATTATTGTATATATCACTAATTTTTTTACACAATAAAGATAGATATAATCTTGTCATGATTACAAATAACAAAAACATCCCACTAATGATGATGTTGTGTTGATGAAGAAAATGTTAATATAATAATGCTGAACAAAACACAGTAATAAAATTTTAACTTTTAATTTTGAAATTTGTTTTACAAATTATTTATTTTATTAATAAAATTTATATATGGTAAATAGTTAAAAAAAAAAAAGAAAGAAGGTGTTGTTAAATCTAGTATAAAGATTAGATCTAAATCAAAAAAATAAGTGTAAGAAATTTACACAATAGGTGGTAATAAAGATAGCTATAATCATGATTACAAATAACAGAAAACATCCTGCTAATGACAATGTTGATGAAGAAAATATTAATAATAATAATGCTGAACAAAAGCAGTAATGTAATTTTAATTTTAATTTGAAATTTGTTTTTACAAATTATTTATTTTATTAATGAAATTTGTTTTTACAAATTATTTATTTTATTAATAAAATTTATATATGGTGAAAAGAAAGAAGGCGTTGTTAAATCTAGTATAAAGACTAGATCTAAATCAAAAAAAAATAAGTGTAAGAAATTAGGTAGATTATTTATTTTAATTATAAATTTGAACAACTATACTGATTATATTCACTTCTACTAAAATATTGTTAGCAAATTCATATTTTTTTATTGTATTTTTTTTTTGATTTTTTTTTATACACATATGTATGTTTGCATATATTATCATAAATAAAATCAATTAAAGTTGCCAAAATTACAATTAAAATAAGATACATTATTCAATAAATTCAACTAGTGATGATTAGTAATTCATGTTCCATTTTTTACGTTAATAGATAATCAAATGAATTTATCCTTTTGCTAAGATTGAATAATTAGGATCTGTGCCTTTAAGAGTTTTAGCCATAATATGTATGATGTACTTCCATTGCATTCAATTGATATGAATCATCATAAATAAAAAGTTTGATTTTGTTGAAAGAACAATTTATAATTATTTATATAAATGTTTTCAAATGCTGAATAAATAAAATTTTATTACATTATAACTTTACTATCACTATATTCTTTTTACATATAAAACATAAGAAATTAGAAAAATTCCAAGTAATGTTTAGACTCCTCCAGTTAATACTAAGAAATAGGCAGTTTTTACTAAGTAAATGAAACATTACTAAGTAGTAAGTAACTTTAGACTAGTAATAATTTGGAATGAATAGCTTATATGAAAGAAATAATACCTTTTACTAAGGGATTAGTATCAGTTACTATGGGATTAGTATGGTTTTTTGAAGAAATTAAAAGTTCTTACTAAATTATTTTGTTTGAAATTTTACAAGAAATTAAAGGGGTTTATAATCTACATATGGAAAAATTTTGAACCAATTTGGACGTGTTTTGCATAACTTTTATTATGCAACTTCTATAATTCAAATTTTTGAGCCGCCGATCTACATATAAATTGACACGTGATTCCCCCTACCCTTAATTCGTGATTCTTTTAAAAATGAGTGATCTGCATTGATTTTAAATAAGGATCGGTGGGGATAATTACACTAATAAAACACATACACTCACTCCCCTACGGAGCTTCATTTTATTTGGTATTTTGCGAAGATAATTAATATAATTAATACATTATTGAGAATTAAAACATTAACATCGTAAAGAAGGAACATGAGAAAGAGGGAAATATAGCCTGTTTATTTTATTTATTTGTTTTTAAATATTTTCATTTATTGTTTAATATTAATTATTGGATCTAAAATTCGTCAAATTTTTACGAAAACTTACGAATCGTACTATTCATGAAAATATCTGAGGTTTTAGTCGAGGTAAATTTGCAGAACATGCTGTATGGAGAGTGTGTTTATTTCATATATTTTTTTTCGGAGGCTGTAATAGATAGAAATATTACAATAAAGAAAAGTTTTTGGTTTTTGCAGCCATTAAAAGGCTTTCCATAGCTTTGAACTGTAATGTATATATATATATGCTATCTTTGATACAAATTTGGTATCCATAACCTTCAAATAGAAGATGAGTAGCGTTTGAAAATAGTATGTTTTATTAGTATATACGAGCTTTCAATTGCTAAGGTTTCTGGAAAATCACCAGTGGCAGCAATAGGATAGGAAGATGTAAGACAGAATACGAGGAGGAATAAGTCGTAATGAAAACTTTTATTTTAACAACATATTGATGAGTTAAGGAAGATGGATTGTTTTTGTTTTCTTTAAAGAAATAAAAAAATTTGTTTGATAGTTGAATTGGTTGACTTAATGATCGTTTTCGTTTTATTAATTTAATTTAATTTATTGATTATTTTATTGATTTATTTTTTTCAAGATGCTGAAAATCCACTGCTTTCCAACAATTGGTCGATGTTTTAAAATAGCCTATCCCACATGTTATATTAGATTATTGGATTATAATAGTAAGGATTTTCATAATTATACAAACCTGACATATTATTTATTAATATTAACAAATTTCTAATAATTGTCAAAAAAATATTAAACAATAACATATTCTTCAACAGTTAACAATTTTTCTTCTGAAAAAGTTACAGTACTTTCATTTTCAGAATTTATAACATCCAGAACCTAAAAAAAAATAAGTCATATTAATCATGAGGAAAGTGGATGAAAATAAAAACAAAAGAAACAATAAACAATAAATAAATAATTATTTACTTCTATATCACAAATTAATTTTTCACTTATAAAAGTTACCGACATAGGGAAAAAAGCATTAAGATCATCACCGGGAATATTAAATTCAAAAGTTCCTTGCTTATTAGATGAATTAATGATAGGCAATTTCCATTCCAAAGATTTCAATTGACGATTCAACTCATAATCTCCATCCACTTCTCCAATTGTTGGATTTCCTCCAGAACTAAAAAATGATGATATAATTTTATAATCTTATAATTTTTCCAAAATAATATTTATTTTAATTAAATAATCAATTCATGATGGATAACTTACGGTAATGGAATAGAGGTTACTACATCTGTAAGTTCTCGATTTTCATCCTTCAACTCATATTCTATATTAACATCAATAGTTCCATCTCCCGCTGCTGATGACCAACAACTTACTATTTTTTATATTTTTAAATATTTAATTAGGAAGAGAATTCACAACATCTTCATCATAATAAAATAATCAATATTGACAGCGTACTTGATAATGGAATTAAGGCCTCGTCCTTGTTAATAAATCGCCATCTAAGAACAGGCAAAGGATGATTAACCGGAAATCCTTTTCCAGGATTTTTCAAAGCAATTATATTTTCAGTGGAGAATAATTTTTTATCCACATTTGGGTGTGTCTAAATAATAATAATTATTTAAAAAAAAGACAACACAAATTAACACATGTCAATAAATAAATCAAAATAATAAATATTATTAATACTTGAAGTTTTTGTAAAATCTATTCCTCATAATTAATATGTGTCTTATTCAAAATACACATACCTTTAATTGCAAATTGTCACTATCAGTGGCACGAACCGATATTTTAATTTTTGACGTGTTTGCATCTGAAACAATCAATTCTAAATCTCCTTTAACTTCCATATTTTCCAAATCCCCATCTCTATTTGCTTGTAAAGAAACTTTCTCGGAGATTTTGAAATGAACACTGTAATAATGAAAAGAGTACTGTTTGTAAAACTTATCTATTTATTATAAAATTCATTGTATAAATATAAAGATAAATATAAATATATATAGATACTTTTCTGTTGGAACTTTTGATATAGATATTACTCCTTTTGCATTATCACCAAGTTCATCAAATCCAACTTCACTCTTAACTGCTTCAAAAAGATCAGCACCTTTTTGTTTTTTCCCAAGCTGCATACCCTTGGCCTTAGGTGCTGATGGTGTGCTTTTTGTTAATGAAGATGATAAAAATAATGCAAGTTATAATAAATGTTAATATCATTAATAATAATAAATCTCTTTTTATAAATCTTTTGACATCACACCTATTATATGAAGAACGAATACCATCATCAAAAGATGCTTGTACTTGTGGTTCAGCATAAGATCCTGGTCTACTAATAGATTGTCCAAAATTACTTCCGAATGATGATATGCCACCACTGCCACCACCCCCACTTCCAATACCCCCACTTGAACCACGTTTGAGCATTTCTTTTTTTTGCATTTCCAATTGTTTAGCTCTTCTTTTAAGTTCCTCTTTGGCTTCATGTTCTTTATTCTAATTAATTAATTAATACATTAAGTTACTACATATACCTACACATATATATATATGTTTATATTTATTTATACCTTTGATATTATATCTTGGATTTTTTCTTCGTGACTTTCCATCTCAGTAATGCTTTTAACCTGAGCCAGATTAACATTTTCTCGATATCCCAACGAAACAATCTCATCAAATGCGCTAAGCAACTCAAAACTATTTCTCAAAATTTCTCTTTCATCTGTTGATCTGCAAACATCTGATACTACACGTGCAAACAAATGTAATGTATCGATATCTTGAAGGATGTTGGATTGCCGATTTGTAATTAGAACCATATACAATTCATCAAATGGTTGATATACATAACGAACATTTTCTGTTTCTATTGTTGTGTGCTGTTGGCCTGAACTGGTCAATTTAGGAAATGATGCGAGCAATCCTTCAATTCGAGAAGATGGCATCTCACGATATTGTCGAGAAATTACAGCTAAAAAAAAAGATAATGATAATAATAATGATTAATTTGGTTTTATATTATTCAAGTATTACAAGTATTATTTTTTGTTGTTTTACCCTTTCCTCCTTTGGTACATATTGCTGAAGCAAGGACAACCTAAAATAAAAATTCACCATCGTAAATTAGATTTAAATTTTTATACAATAATCTCAAAAAAAATTTATACTTCACCATTTTAAATAATTTAAATTATTATCATATAAAAAAAATCGGAAATCTTTTATTCTGTGTAACTTCTATCGGTGATGATCATTTATTAGTATTAGAGACTGACATCCATCCATTATGGTACTAGAACCTCTTTCATGAGATTCTTTTTAAGAATGCAGTAATTTATTCAATGGGATGAACTGAATGAGAATGATCACAAAAAAAGTTTTCATTATCAACACATTAGGATGCTCATCTAATCTTGTGAATATTAATATATATTGCTGACTTTTTTACATAAATAAAATAAATGTATTTTTTAAAAATTTTCATTTTCTTTTTAATGTGCATTTAATGCAGCAATGGTAGTAGACTAAATTATATCCGAAATTATTTGAACTCTTTCATTGGTTACATTTGCAAAGATCCAGGAAACCAAATAACTTATAAAAGATCTCAAATTCGCTAGAAAGATTACTATTTATAAAAAGAAACGTGAATTTGATAATTCGAATAATCCAAACAAATAATACAAATAATACAAATTAGCAAATAAAAAAAAATAAAGTATTTTATTACAATCAATTTTTTTGTATTGTCGTAATCATTAATTGAAATTATTTTATTTTAAAGAATAATAAATATATTCGCTTGATTTTATTTATTTGCTATTTTAGAGTCGTTATCAAATAAATGAAAAAATCAACTAATTATGTTCTGCTTGTTGTCATGTCAAATTGTCTAAATGGACCTTTGTGAGAAATTAGTCAATACTTTAGTTACGTTAATGGCCAAAACCAAAGGTTTCGTCCTACGTCGTTATTCTTGAAAATCTCTTTTTGTCCATAGAAGCAAAACAAGCATACAAGAAAGAGTTTCTCAATGAAACCCTTGGATGGGATTTATTGTACCAATTTTGAGAGTAATTTAATCGTCATGATAAAAGAAACATTAAGAAATGAACCTGGAATTCTACGATTCTTAAGATTACCGAATATAAATTACGCATAGTAATAGCTAATATCCTTTGAAGTTTTCAAATAGAGTAGATCCCTGTCGCTTTTTTTTCAGGATCGTACCGCAATGCTAGTTATTTATTATAAATAAAAGTCCAAGAATTCTAAAAAAAAAAAACACTTGAATTTTTTGGTAAAGTTATATGTCATATTTTTCGAATAATTATTATTATGTCATTCAATTATTAATTCTAAAGTTGAATGGGAAAATAAATCCATTAATATTAATGTTAATAATAATGAATGAATCCTAAGATTTCCATTTCCTTATTTGGCCACCACTGCAATTAATATTAATATTAAAGCGCAGATTTTCGAAATAATAATAATAATAATAATAATAATAATGACTATATCAGGAATTAATTTCCGACTTTATTGGTCAAATAACTGAAGGCACATGTAAAATCAATCATCAGTTAAGACGGTTCAATTTCATTGCCCCTCATAAAAATAATCTAACATGTGAGATAAACTTTCTAATTTTAAAAAAAATTAACCAGGTGGTTGAAAGCGATATAAAAAGAGTGGATTTTTTAATGTCTTGAAAAAATAAAATAAATTAATAAAAAATAGTTTTTGAGAAACAATCATTGGATCTCATCAACAAATATTTTTTATTTCTTTTAAGAAAACGAAAGCAATCTATATAACCCCTTCACATCCTTCCTCCTCCTTAACTCGTCAACATGTTGTTAAAAAATAAAATTTTCACTGCCTTGATAATATTATCTCTCCTCATATCATGTCTTACATCATTTGCATCTCCCTATCCCGGCTATCCAATTGCTGAAAGTGAACCAGAAAGCTATCCAATTGCGGAACGAGGCTATCCAATCGCAGAAAGTAAACCAGAAAGCTATCCAATTGCAGAACGTGGCTATCCAATCGCTGAAAGTGAACCAGAAAGCTATCCAATCGCAGAACGAGGCTATCCAATCGCTGAAAGTGAACCAGAAAGCTATCCAATCGCTGAACGAGGCTATCCAATTGCTGAAAGTGAACCAGAAAGCTATCCAATCGCTGAACGAGGCTATCCAATTGCTGAAAGTGAACCAGAAAGCTATCC